TATATTGAAAGAACTCACATTACAAAATGTTGTTTCATATAGGTGAGCATTCTAACAAAACAAAAAGATGCTCACCTTAATAATACAAATCAAATTTCCCCAAAGATCAGATGAAGACAGTAGCAAAGCAAGTGAAAATACAAATTAACAACTAACAGTAAGTCCTGTACAAGTAGATGCAGAGAGCATAAAATGAGGTAGTGCTGGGCTGAACTGAAGTGCAAAAACACAAAATATGGTATAGCCTTGTTTTATAACAGTATTCATGAAGGAAAAAAAAAAAACCTGCTATAAACAATCAATAGTATCACTAAGCTAGTTAGTACAACAAACCAAACAGCCACTGCACAGGTATAGAGTTAAAGCTAATGAGACCGTAAACTCTAAGTAATGTTACATACAACACAGGACTGAAAGGCTATTGGAGCTCAGCTCACCCAGAAATCAAAGTTTTGACATAGTCGCTGGCTTCCTCCGCTGAAACGAAGTCCTTCTCAACACCGTTGTATGTGATGCGAAGTCACACTGGATGAATCAGACCATACCGAGCACCGTCAATGCCACGGAGTTGCCGCCTGACCTCGTTGAATGCAGCCCGAGCCCGGGCAATCTTGGCAGTGTGGTCAGGGAAGACTGAGATGGTCAGGTCCCTGACTTTAATCTGTCGGAGCTCTCTAGAGTGGCATAAAATGTCAACACAGTCACTGTGGTAATGAAATCTGCATACAATGGCTCGAGGACGGTCACCAGGCTTGGGTTTAGGTTGGAGGGTCCGGTGAGACTGGTCCAAAAGCGGCTCCTTTACCAGATCAAATGCTTCCTTCAGTAAGGCGGCTACAGCGGCATTGGTACAGGTGTCAGGACCCTCCGGTACTCCCACTATCCTAACGTTGTTACGTTGTGACCTGGACTCCAAGTCTTCACATTTATTTTCCAGCTTGGCTACGTTAGCAGTGAGGGACTTAATGGTAGCTTTCATCTCTGCGATGTCATCGGAGCACTCGGTGAGCGCGTGTTCCATCTCCCCGACCGTACCTTTTAGCTTGGACATGGTAGCATCGGTAGTAGCTTTATCACTTGCTAGCTGTGTCTTCACTGCTTGCAGGTCGAGCTTGATAGTAGACAAAGCATCCCGAGAGTGTCCTGGAGTTCCTTTTTGAAGATGTCTGCAATATCTTTCCTCAGCGAGGCCAGCAACTCGAGCTTGAGGGCAGCAATGTCAAGGTTAGCATGCGTTGAGGCGACCTCTGCAGGGGCTGACGGCTCACTCAAGGATGTGGTCGCGGTTTGTGGACCAGGCCTCAGTTGTGTCTGAATAGTATTGTGGGTTTTAGAGTTCTTTCCAGCCATTTTACGCAGTCCAGAGTAAAACTTCCCAGCAAAAAGTACTGCTGCGTAAGGCAGGACTAAAAATGTGACCAAGAAACGCAAAAGAATAACAATTTTAATCGAAATCGGCAGGAGCTTCCAAACTCACGTCCTACTCCATTGAAGCTCAGCAGCGCCCCCCTCAGAAAGTTTTTAACAGATCATATAAACATAAATTTTCCTTCTATTTTCATTTATAACCATCCCTAGGTCTTTTTCCGAAATCTTTAATAGAGGTTGGAAAGATGAGTGACATCACAAAATTCTTAAATTTGACCTTTGATTGTACTTGAGGACATTAATATATATTTGGCTTCAGAAAGGCCAAACCATTTATTTTCCTTGACTAGTGAATGGACGGTACACAGATTTTGAAACTCGACACACAAGGAGTAAAATGTCAGCCCAGATTTTCAAAGTGTGAGGCCGAGAATGTGCGTATAGTTGTGCAAGTCTGGGCTGACATTTTGCTCCTTGTGTGTTGAGTTTCAAAATCTGTGCATTATTTTTAATTTTTGTGTGTAAGCAATCGTAAAAAACTAAGTGTTTGTTCAAGTCTGGATTCTGATGAATAGAAGAGTAGATGGAAGTACAATTAGTGATACCAAGTTTCTTTATGCAATCCATCCATTAGTTTTTTACATCCTTGACTACAGAAAGTAAACCTTTTTGTCCTGGTATTTGAGTTTTTTAATCCCATCTAATATATCTGATTTGGTAAATGTAATTATAATAATGGGCAACATCCATATTCTTTCATCAAATTGAAAGGCAGTGTCTGTCACAGTCTGCTCTGCCCCTCTCCTGCTCTGCTGCTCAGCCACACCCCTCATCTGTCACAGTCTGCTCTGAGCCTCTGCCCCTCTCCTGCTCTGCTGCTCAGCCACACCCCTCATCAGCCTAACTGCTTTCACCTGCTCACCATCTCCACTCAAGCCAGTAGATATGCAGCTTCACTCCACCCACTCTTTGCCAGATTGTCTTCGCTCTCATGCCTGACTCTCCAGCACTTGTTCCCGGACTGCTTACCCGGTATCGACCCGACTTGCCTCCGACCTTCGCCTCACGTCTCAGCCCCGGTAAATCCACCAGCCTTCTGTCCCCGACTACGAGTATTGCCTGCCTGTTTTCTGTTTTTCGTCTGCCTGTGGCTGGTTAGCACTCAGCCTGTTCCTGCTCCACCAAGAGCCCCACCTTGTCAGCTTCACCTCGCCAGCTCACCTCCTCTGGTGATGTCAGCCCCACCGACTCCGTCTCAAGGTCCAGATCCACATCCTGCCATACTCACCTGAATCCAGTTCTCTGCTGCCATCCTCGGGTTTGCTGTGTACCTGTTTTAATCTGCTGAATAAAGACTGTTTCAAGACTAAAACCTGGTTCACTTGTGCTGCTATTGGGTTCTCTCCATACCAGTTACAGTACAATCTGGCCAGCTATGAACCCAGCACACAATCCCACACCACTTAGTCACCTTGAGACGATTGAGGGCGTTTTGCAGCAGCATGAGGCTATGATGACTGCGTCTGCTGCTGAAGCCAGACAAGCTGCCAAGACTCATGGACGAGCACTAGCGGCATTAGCCGGACAGATGCAACAGCTAGCAGCCTGTTTCTCCACTGTGTCTGCCCCCTCTTTTGAAGCATCGGCTTCTGCTCCTGCACCTGTGCCAGCCTTTTCACCGCCCAGAGATGCTCCTGAGCCCGGTTGGGAACCCCGGAGCGTTACAATGGTGATTGAGAGACTTGTGGCCCCTTCCTCACCAACTGCTCTCTTCTGTTCGCGCTGCAGCCCCGCATCTTCGCCACTGAACTGGTGAAGGTTGCATTTGTCATCAACCACCTTACAGGCAGAGCTCAACTATGGGGAACAGCTGAGTGGGAGAGACGGTCTCCAGCCTGTGCCTCCTTTGACCTGTTTTCTGCCGAGCTTCGCAAGGTTTTTGGTTTCGAGAATTGTGGTTCTGAGTCAGCAAGGGGACTGATGGGACTGAAACAAGGCGAGCAAACGGTGGCAGATTATTCAATTGATTTCCGCACCAGAGCCAGCCAAAGCATTTGGAACAGCTCAGCCCTCTGCGATGCCTTCCTCCACGGTTTGGATGACTATATTAAAGATGAACTGGTTTCACATGACACCCCCATCACCTTGGATGGGGTGATTGATTTGGCCATCCGCATCGACTTTCGTATCCAGACTCGTCGACGAGAGAAGCATCAAGGGGGAACTCTCAGCGCCTGTCCTCTGCTGAGAGAAATTATGACATTGGCAACAGGGAACTATTGGCAGTTAGGATGGCCCTAGAAGAGTGGCGCCATTGGTTCACCCTCTTTTACCATCCGGGGTTCCGCAATGTCAAGCCCGATGCCCTTTCCCGCCAGTTCCTGAGGACAGAGGACTCTGCTGATAGACCTGAGCCCATCCTCCCTACATCCTGCCTTGTTGCCACGTTGACCTGGGACCACCGAAGGCCCGTCAAACTGCCTTTACGTCCCTCCAGCCTTGAGATCAGATGTGCTACTATGGGTCCACTCCTCCAAGCTCTCTTGCCACCCTGGTGTTCAACGGACACAGCATGCCCTTCTCCAACGTTTCTGGTGGCCCACCTTGCAGGAGGACGTGCAGGAATTCGTCAAAGCCTATCCAACTTGCAATCAACACAAGACCCCCCCACCCCCACCACCCCCCATCCGTCCAAGCCTTCATCCGCCACTGCCGCAGAACATGGCTCCAAGCTCGCTCCACCCTCCTTCGTTCTGTCGGGTCGCTATGCTACCACTGCCAACCGCCGCTGTACACCTGCACCTACCTACCAATCAGGTCAGCAAGTGTGGCTCTCCATCCGATACTTACCTCTCCTCCTCGGGTGGAGTCCAAAAAGATGGCACCTAAGTTCATCGGGCATTTCACGATCCAGAAGGTCATCAATCCTGTGGCAGTCCAGTTGAAGCTCCCACGTTCCATGAGAGTTCACCCAACCTTCCATGTCTCCAGGGTTAAGCCGGTCCATAACAGTCCCTGTTAGTCGATGGCGGTCTAGTGTATGCAGTACGTCGCCTGATTTGCTCTCAGCGGCGAGGTAGAGGTCTCCAGTACCTTGTGGACTGGGAGGGTTATGGTCCAGAAGAGAGGTCTTAGGTTCCTGCTCGCCATATTGTGGACTCCAACCTCGTGGCCAACTTTCATTGGCAACACCCCGACCAGCCAGCCAATGAGTCAGCTCGTCGAGGGACCCGCATTTTGCCCCCACCTGTCCAGGACGTTGAGGACCGTTCGATGGGGGAGATGTCAGATGTTGGGGAAACCCTCCTCTGGACCCCCTCCACCCACCCAGCTGAGGATATGGACTGGTCTTACTCCCAGGAGTTTTAGGTTGTGTTCATGTTTTACCCCCTGTATACTCCCCCTGTGTGTTACTTGTGTTCACATGCTAGTATGTCATGTCATGTCATGTCATGTATGTTATCCATTTTACATGTTCTTTGCCCCCAACATGAATCGGTTGAACTGTTAGAGCCAGTTGATAACTGGCTGTGTAAGATTTGTTACCCAGACGGTTAGACCTATCAAAGCTGGATCACTCACAGATAGCTTGACTAAGCTGATCTGACTGAAAACTGTCTGTTCACTTTCAGAGGTTCCTAAAACAGACAAGAGTTTTGAGGAACGACTCATCTTCAAGACCTTCATTCTAAAGTTCTTCAATGCTTTCACTCCCATCATCTACATTGCTTTCTTCAGGGGAAGGTTGGTAACCTCATTATATGTGTAACTTTCTCTCATTCTAATATACATAAATACTCTCATATAATTTAAATAAATATCCAAAATGAAAAATGAATTATAAGATAAAGAAAACTTTATATCTACTCTTAACCCTGTCATTAATGTTTCCCTGTAGACTGGTCGGCAGACCTGGCAGCTACCTGTATGTGTTTGAATCCTACAGAATGGAGGAGGTAGGGTTTACACTTTTACAAATGATATGCAAGCAAAGGCTTTGGTAACCACACACTGGGATTAAAGTTGAAATACCTTTTACATCCTTTTAACTAAAATAGATTGTTAAATATACCTTGTGCTTCCAAAAAATGAACTATCAAATCCTTTGTACTAACCAACTGTGGTATTCTCAGGTCAGACACGGATCACACACATTGGGTTAAAGGCTCATTCTAATCTTTTTTGAGTAGATTTGACTGTTTTGGGCATAAGCTAATCAAATTCAATATAACTGAACAGTGAAAGAACTAACTGTGAAATTTTGAGATTTTTTTTTTTTTTCTAAAAATGTTTTGCAGAATTGCGCAAAAATAAATTTCTCTATGTGGAGATCTGGTTAGAATTTGGACCTGTGATGTTTAAGTATTTTAAAAAATGACTATGGCCCTGCTGCCAGAAACTGCAATGGAAGCAGTACAACCTGGAATGCTTTTGCCTTGCTTGCTCAATGTTCAAGTGTTATGGGCAGAGGGCTTTGGAGCATGTCTGCGACCACTGCACAGAGGGGTGCAGCAGCACCCTTGGTGCAGAGAGAGCATGTTGATGGATTTCCTCCAGATGAAGCGATCGCTTGCAGGATCAGGAAATCTCATATTCAGAATGTTTTCTCAACTTCTATTAACTTCCCTGTAAGAAATGTTCCTGTCTTCAAATCTCTGGCTGAAGTGGGGCGGATAATTCAAGTCTCCATTGTGGCAGCAGAGCATGAGTTCAGCCTTCAGCCATGACAAAGCAGCCATGACAAGTTGTCTGTCATTAGGTTTTGCATCTTTGCCTCAGACAATCACCTCCACAGTGATCAGCCTTGATGAGTGCACATGAGTTCAAATCTTAAGGAAAGTCTGAGTTCAGGCTACAACAGGTCAACTGAGTTCATTTCAAGTCCTTGCCAATAATTTGTTCATATTTTCATTGTAATTTCAGTTCTGTAAAATTACATTGTTCATATTTGCCTGTTGATGCACAATGGCTGTGATGTTTTAGTGTCCTCCACTGTCACTGTATAGGAAAAAAAAAACATTAACCTGCTTTATGTGGTGTTGACATGAAAAGTGACTGGTCGATGTCTCTCTTCATCTTTTCTGTCCATGCCCAAATTAATATATAATCCAAGATGTTTTTGAAAATTAAATGCTATTAAATCGGCTCTGGGCCGACACTGAAGGCGGAGCCCTTTTAGAGGGCGAGCAGGAGTTGGTCGGACTGGTGACTGGGGATCAGGAGCTGGAGGGAGCTGAACTGCTGACTGGAAACCAGGAGCTAGTGTAATGTTGACTGGGACCCCTGACGCTGGAAAAGGTGAGGTGTCAGCTGTGGCAGTCGACCAGGATGTTTGACACAGAAACAAACAAGGGAATAAGGGAGGAGATGTCGACTGGAACTCCTACTGCTGGAATAGGTGAGGCATCAGCCAGGACCCTAGATGCTGGAAAAGGCGAGGTGTTAGCCAGCTGAGGCTCTGGATAACTCGGGAGCTTGGAAACCTGGGGTTGAGACTCGGGCTGGCAACTAGAAACCTGAAGCTAAAGCCCTGGCTGGAAGCTGGAGACCTGGGACTGAGGTTTGGGCTGGTTGCTGAAAAACTGCAGCTGAGACTGCTTGGGAGACCAGCGGCTCAGTGACCTTTTCTTCTTTCTAGGGGCTCCAGCCCCTAGATGTCTGCCATGACAGGCATGGCCGGTTCCCCAAAAAGGAGACAGCTCAGGGTCCTCCAGTTCCAAATCACACATGGGGGTCTGCCAACATGCTCACACTGGGCTCATTGCTAGCCAACTGGGAGGCTGGTTAAAGGCTTGCATAATGGTGGCTAGCCAGCTGGGGTACATGCTGAAAGCTACCAGGCCCAAGGCTAGCCAACTGGTGTGCTGGCTGCAGACAAGCAGGCCCAAAGCTAGCCAGCTGGGCAACAGGCTGGGAAACCGGCTGAGGGCCAGCAGGGTCAGTAGCAAATACTAAACAGAGTCTGGGCAGGAAGTTTACAAGGAAGGGAATATCATGACAAAGAAGTGTAGAGGTTTGCACTGAACTGTGTTGAACTCCCCTGCAGTGCAACAAAGAGATACTTGAACTTGCATGTAGCTAGTGCACATAATATAACAGAAAACATATTTCAATCAGGAGAGACTTATAAGAAGAATGAGAAAATTCCTGGAGAAATTTTGAATGTGCCTTCTGCTTGGTGCGTGTACTTCATTCCTCAAGTTTCAATCTGTACAAAGGACGTTTACTTTCAGTTTCATTCATGTCGTAGAGACTTATCTGACACTGACCTGGCCAAAATGACAATAATGGTTTACACAAAGAACCACACATCAACACGCACACACAAATACATGCAAATACACTGTGCTGATTTACTTTAACTGTGTTCAGACAGAGAAGCAATAAACCAGTAACAGAAACTGGACTGGAGAAAAGACATCAGTAGAAGTAAATCACTGTGTAAAAATGTTCTCAGATAAAAGAACAAAATAAGTAAGTTAAAATGTTTCTGAATAAACGTGGTACTGCGTTACATTTGAAAATGGGGAGAGAGGGGTAAAACGTGTTATATAGTAATAATTATAATATATGATAAAACTATAAAATTAAAGAACATCTTTAGCTTACCAGTTATATCAGTTCCCAGGTGAGAACAGCAACAAAATGAACCAATCAATTGTAGTTAGGCACTTTGGAGCCTGAGCATACACCTGATAATAACTAATATACTCAGTTGACAATTTATTATTAAAATAGTTTTAGACAGTTGTTGATTCAATTGATCACTGTGGAGGCTGTAGTGTATATTAAATTATACCGAGGCATTTTTGTTATTTAGCCTTCCTTCTGTCACGGTCCGATGAGGCAGGGGTGAGGGTGAGAGACTCAAATGCGGAGGATAAACCAGAGTCAAAGAATTTATTCCTTCAAACTAACCAAAGTCCAAACATGAGTCAATGAAACACACACCAAACCTCACAACCAAATAACAATGATCCCACAAGGACAAGACAGTACAAGGGCTTCTTAAAGGAACGGAACTGATTAGTGATGGAGAACAGGTGGGGAAGCAGACACAGGTGGGACACATCAGGGAATTAACCAAAGGAAGCAAAACTAGAACTCAGACACTGGGGCGACATGACTATCAAAACAAAACAGGAAGTGTACAGGAAAACAGAGCACGAGACAGGGGAGACTACACTAGACACTAGAAATACTCAAAACCTAGAACAGAAACCCAAAACACAGAAAACTAAATCAAGACAGTCCAAAAAACAAAACCCTGGAGCCTCCAGGCCGAGATCATGACACCTTCAGTCATAAAAATGGGGTGGTGGTGAAGTGGTGGTGGTGGTTGTGTGTGTGTGTGTGTGTGTGTGTATTGCAGTCTATGGGAGAGCTACTATGATGGTTGAACAGTTCCTGTTGCTCAAAGCTGGTTTGAACACCTGTGTCTAGCTGGAAGACAGAGAGCTGGCACAGATCTGCGTGTGATTTTTGCTCAGCGATCATCTCAAACAACTATTTGTGAAAAAAAGGTAACTCCTATCAGAACCATGAGCAGACCATGACTGGCACAAGACCTTTGTGCACTGCATATCTGGCTTTGGTGTTTCTAGAGCCAAAAATGTGGACACAGGAGCGAGTTACAAAAAAATGTCACTTTTGCATTTCACGTAAAATCAGCTCCTGAATTTGTAATGCAGTCAATGGGAGAGGAGCAGGGTACTCCAGTCGCTTTGAGGTTCATGTTCAAATTGTGTAAGTCTCTGTGCTTAGGTAGACACATTCTATGAAACAGGACAATTTTTTCTACTACTGAGAAAGCCATGATGTGTGAAGACTGAAATATGTGGCTGTAGGGATGAGTTTTTTCAGAGTAGTTCCAGAGCTTCTCCCACACTAGCAATGATGTCATCCACTATAGCTCTGAACATTCTGTGCAATACACACCCATTATAAAGTCAGTCTAAAAATTAAACAAAACGTAAAGTGCAATTTTTTGTAAACTGTAATAGTTGTCAAAATACCAATTTAACCCAAAAGAGTCTCAAGTCTTGTGACCTGTTTGAAGTTTCAACCATTTTTCTACGTTAAAGTATGACGCAGCAGTAGAGCTCCAAATTTGGTCGTTTTGAAGACGTCTCCCCATTCATTCTCTATGGGACTTTTTTCGCCTTTTATCACCATTTATGTCGCCATGGTTACTCGTATCGCTTAGAAAAGTCATAGCACACCATTCAGAATAATATATGCCTTCAATGCTATTGCATTGTAGGCACAAAATAATATATGCATTCAATGCTATTTCATTCCAAGCACATAACCAGAGAGTATGAGAATTAAAGTAAAATTAAATTTATTGTGAACAGAAGGAATATACTTTGGCGCTTAGACCCCGGCAGGAAGTGGATCACCATGGACAAGATCCATAGGTTTAAGGTCCTTCCAATAAGAGGAATCTTCCCCCGAGTCTAGACACTGGTGGTGGTGCTGAGGAATGGAGCTCGAGAATGGGAATGTCTTCATTAAGGAAACTTCTGATTGATTGGAGATGGTCTGGCATCAATGGTTGAGCTGGAGAAGGGGTGGAGGTGGTCACGGTGATGAAATGACAGTTGAATGACAGCAGAGAGAGACAATTTTTAAAGTTTGACTGCTGAAGGCCACTGTATAAGGCTGTGATTGGGTGAAGATGTGAATGAGCGGGTGGAGCTTATAGAAAGTGGGAAACGTTGCTTGTGACTTAGAAGGCATGTGCAATGAGATAGTCTTCTAAACTGAACTTTCACTAAGCTTAATTTGGAAAATATTATTTTTATCACAATGACATGTTGTCATTTTGCTTAAGGGCTGCTTTTTTAAAGTAGTTTTTGGACTGTTTTACAGTGTGCTCATGGAGGCTGTCTGATGGAGCTGTGCATCCAGCTGAGTATCACCATGTTGGGAAAGCAGCTCATACAGAACAACCTATTTGAGATTGGAGTACCGTAAGTATGCCATACTGTGAATGGATTACACTGTTTCATTGATTACACTCTTTAATTTTTTTGAATTCAATTTCATTCAATTTTCAAGGAATGGTACAAGCTCCTGTGTCATCTTGATTACATTATGTTGGTCCAGTGGTAACTTGTGGGGAGGTCATTGCCCCCTGTTCAATGACATTCTATGGTGTCTTAATTCAACAGGTAATATGGAAACTGACATGTCTGTTTTGAGTTCAGAGGATAAAAAAAATTACACAATCATGCTGCAGATCAGGACACAAACCGAACCAGACCTATCAATCAGGCCAGGGGTATAAAACCATTTCTAAGGCTCTAACTGTTCACAGGAGCACAGTGACCTCAGTAATTATGAAGAAGGTTGAAAGTACCAGGACTCTTCCTAGAGTTGGCCATCCAGCCATAATGGATCACAGGGCAAGAAGGTCCTTGGTCAGGGAGGTCACCAAGAACCAACCAGTCACTCTAAGTCTAACTCTGAGGGGTTTCAGAATTCCTCTGCAGAGATGAGAAAACCTGCTGGAAGAACTACCATTTCACCAGCTCTCCAATAATCAAAACTTTATCATAGAGTGGCTAGATGGAAGTGAAAGGAATATGACATACCACTTGGAGTTTGTTTTTCGTCATGTGATTAGAGGCAAAATCTGGTCTGATGAGACAAAAACTGAACCCTTCAAGCAGAACTCCAAACACTTTGTGTGGCAAAAATTGATAAAAATGTCAATTTTATCAATCTAAAATTTTAAAACAGATTAAAGTGCAAGAAGTCAAGGGGTCTCAATACTCACTACAAGTGTGACATGAAGGGTATATATAATGGACAGATATGTAAACAAAAAAAACAATTACATAGCTGTACATATGGTATGTGTCTATGATGTGTGTGTGTGTGTGTGTGTGTGTGTGTGTGTATTTTATAGGTTTATATATGATGTAGTTGTATGTATCTGTGTTATGTGAAAGGTTGAGTGGACATTAATGATGTAATATCAATATAATGAATAAATAAATGTAATAAAAATAACAATAATATTTATGAAATCCTGTCAATCTAAAAAAAAAAAGGGTTAAATCTTACGACAAAAAATATGCTAATGTAATATTAGAAAATTTAATAAAAAATAATATAAAATAGTGTAGAAAAACATGATAATAGTGTGGAGGTGTTATGACAGAATAGTATGTGTTATTTATATAATATAAGAACAATGTAAATTGGTATACATGTTATAATAATATGATATACATTGTTATATCACGTAACAATTATAATTCTACAACATGAAGTTATGTATTGATGGGTGTTGAGGTCTGGTTGACCGGCTAGACCTCAACACCCATCACTACTGTGGGGGGCTGTTGCCACCGTGGAGGTGAGCAACAGCCCCCAATCCAATCCCCAAGCAACATGTCGAGGGACTCCAGTGGGACCCGATGTAACAAGCCCCCCACCAACCCACCACCAGGTTGGGCTCAGGCCCAGGGGACGGTGTTATATATTTTCATATCCTCCCAGGATCTGAATAATTCTTGAAAGCACGTGTGTGTGTGTGTGTGTGTGTGTGTGTGTGTGTGTGTGTGTGTGTGTTCCTCAGCAAACTGAAGAAGCTGATTCGCTACATTCGGTCCAAACAAGCTGCTTTTCAAGAAGAAGAGAGACAGAAGAAGCTGCAGAGATATGAAACCGACCACTTTCTGGAGCCATTTGCTGGATTAACACCTGAATATATGGAGATGAGTAAGTACAACACATGATATCCCTACACAAATGTTCATCAGATCATATACAACTACAGGTCCTAAAGGCAGCATGTGCATCTTTGTGTGTTTCCCCATGTCAGTTTGCTGTAGTATAGACTGCTGACTGCTTCCCATCGACACTCATATTACCAAGTAAATTAAAGAATGTAATTGCAGTCACAGAGGAAAATACAATTAAATAGATCATGTGCAGTCTAGTGTTGGGGTGGTGCTAGATCCAATGCTGAACAGAAAATCAAAACCTAATATTTCAGTACCTATGATGGGACTCCTGTTAATTCCATACATTCTGCATCAAGTATAAATGCAACTGACGGCCTTTGTCAAGATGCACTTCCATTCTTATAGTGTTGCTATTGTGTATTTCCCTCAGGCTCTGCTGGCTGTATCTCATCAGTGCTTTAAAAATTCAAGGTTCAAAAGTCGACTGCAATTATTTGTCATTTGTGCTGGAAAATTTGTTGGCAAAGTAGAGAGAAAAAACAAAGCAATTATAACTGGATCCAAGCTCTATATTTATTAGGAAATACAGCTAAAACTATAAATACTGAATACATAATGTACACTGCTCAAAAAAATTAAGAAAACACTTAATCATCACAGTATAACACAGAGAGGCAAAAACAAGACAACCCTGTAGCGTTAACACCACAATTTAGAATTTCCTCTCGCTGAAAGGGGGCACCAGTCCTCAGGGAGGACAACGGTGAATTACTTCATGTGATGTTGTTATCAGTCTCATATCAGAAGCCATGACTTCTCGATTCAATCGATTTCCAGTCTTTACTTAAAAAACACAACAGGAAAAAAACTAAGTGTAAATAAATAATGTTATTAACTAAACTACTATCTACAGAGTAAATGCAGCGTGTAATAATCATGAAGATGAAAATAATAATGAAATAAGCTATGTGATTAGTTTGCAATGGTGGGAGAGAATATGTTATTAATATACACTATGGCTATGCAGTTAATTATACTATGTCTACGAAAGAGATTTGATGATAAATATTGCTATATTTTGACATCAACCCAGTTATGAGCAGGAGGTTAAGACCAGCCTTCTGTAAGTTGCTGGAGTAGCTGGAGACCCTTGGCTGGAATCCAGGTGGCTGAGGTTGCCATGGTAACCCTGGAGACGCGGGATATAGGTGGATTCTCCTGGAGGTCGTGTCCCGTTAACACGGTGACGGATTCTGCCAGTGTCTAAGTGGTTCAGCTCTGGTGAAGTTTGCCAGGATACGGGCACTCTTGATTACTGGTAGGCTTCTCTGCAGGCAGTTGTGGGCAGATGTGTTATCTGCCGGCATCTCTTGCGGGCTGATGCAAAATAAACTCTAATGCACTTCACTTTGGCTGGATAACTTAAGAGGAGACTGGCATTGACCAGATGACTCTAAAACTGTCAAAAAGCTTCAAAAAGTAAAATGTGATAATATTTAAAAAGCTACAAAATAACTCTGAGGTAATTCTGTTGCTTTGGTTCAGTTGGTCTGGACTGGCTTATAAAAATTAAAAGATTGCACGTGTAGACAAAAAGGATGTTACTTGGAGCATGTGGCAAAGAAAGAATAAAGGATGTGGACAAACAATGAAGTGCAAAAATGGCTAAGAACCGTGGCTAAACGCCTGTGGCTATGAGTTTGTGGCTAGCAGCTTAGAGCTAAGAGCAGATGATGTAGAGCTAAGAGTTTTGAGCTACATAGCCATGTGTGAATTGATCACGACCTATCTCCTGGGGGCTGGTGCACGTTTCAGGAGCGTTACCTGTCTTCTCTTGTGTTTCAACTTGGAGAAGAGAGTAATTTGCCACAGAACTTTTGAATATTTTAATATTAGAGTTTACCTATAAACTCGCACATCCATCTTCCACCATGACCATAAAAGATTAAAAACCTAAACCTAATGGCACTAATAATGACAGACAGGAATGATACAAGTGTTGATTTTATATTACATCCTTCAAACCTGGAATTAATCATAATACAAGTTGTTAACTGATCAAACAACATAATAAACATTTCCTAAAGCTAATAGTCTCTAAATGTGTATTACACAACAGTTCTTTGACTGTAATAGTAATAATACGGACATTCTGGATATCATGTAGTGTGTGTTACCTTGTGTGAAGGATGCTGACAGTATGGTCACATAGAAGACATTGTCTAAAAGTCAACATGTTACATTTCAACCATTAAATAGAATATAAGTTTGGGATTGACCTATTACATAGAAACATCTTACAGAACATATTAGATATTTTTAATTTATATTCTTCCTCAGATCCGTGTCTGTGAAGAGTGTTCTGCTGGTCACTACCCAGGATTGCAATGTGGGTAGTAGTTTATGACTCTTATCTAGAGAGAGACAGAGGAAGGGAGGTTGGTGTGTGTGTGCATGTGTTCATGCATGGCAAAGAGAGGCCAGGATTCACACCTTTAGTGATAATCAGTTATTTTGGTGTTACTTGTCCTATATAAGAAACAATCAAATGTCAATAGGCAGAGTCTTATTGTTACAAACTGGAGATTTTGCCTATGCTTTCCAGTTTGCCTGGTGCCCATTTGTTGATCCTCTGGAGCTGACCCTTTGACCCTAGGTCTGGTTGAGCGTCTCTCTGACATGCCTACAGCATGGTGTGTTTGTGAGAGAAGGGCTCTTTGTCTCTGTTTCCTATCAATTTGATAGTTTGACGGTCAATTTTGGGTCCATAACTTTGCATGTCCTTACAATAAACTTCTTTAATGGCTTGTGAGTGTTTGTGTGTGCCAGACCAGGTATGTACGCTACAACCCCCAAAAACTGAATGGTTTTGCATGTGGTAGCCACAGAAAATTGCTCTCTCCTGATCCTTCCTGACGGATTCTTCTCTAGTTTTGTGTTTTGCTAGTGTCTTTGTCACTACTGGTAGCATGAGGCAGTACCTGCAGCCCAATCAGGTTGCACAGGTAGTCCAGCTCCTCCAGGAAGCACATCCATACGTGTGTCGCAAGAAGGTTTGCAGTGTCTCACAGCACAGTCTCAAGAGCATGGAGGAGATACCAGAAACTGGCTGTTACACGAGGAGAGCTGGACAGGGCCGAAGAAGGGCATCAACCCAGCAGTAGGACTGGTACCTGCTCCATTGTGCGAGGAGGAACAGGAGGAGAACTGCAAGAGCCCCAACAAAATGACCCCCATCAGGCTACTGGTGTGCATGTTTCTGACCAAACTGTCAGAAACAGACTCCATGATGGTGGCATGTGAGCCCGAAGTCCTCTAGTAGGACCTGTGCTCACAGCCCAGCACTGTGCAGCTCGATTGGCATTCGACAGAGAACACCAGAACTGGCAGTTTCGCTAATGGCGCCCTGTTCTCTTCACAGATGAGAGAAGGTTCACACATGTGACAGGCATGAAAGAGTCGAGAGACCCGTGGTGAATGTTATGCTGCCTGTAATATCGTTCAGCATGACCGGTTTGGCGGTGGTTCAGTGATGGTCTGGGGAGGCATATCTTTGGAGGTTTGCACAGACCTCCATGTCATACACCACGGTACCCTGACTGCTGTTAGGTACCGGGATGAAATCCTTAGAGCAATTGTCAGACCTTACGCTGGTGCAGTGGGCCCTGAGTTCCTCCTGGTGCAAGACAATGCCTGGCCTCATGTGGCCAGAGTGTGTAGGCAGTTCCTGGATGACGAATGCATGGATGCCATTGACTGGCCCTCACGTCTCCCGATGCTGCCACAGAATGTCCAGGAGCTCACTGATGCCCTGGCCCAGGTCTGGGAGGAGACACCCCAAGACACCATCCGCAGACTAATCAGGAGTATTCCCAGAAGTTGTCCGGAGTGCATACAGGCACATGGGGGCCATACACACTATTGAGTCACATTATGAGTTGGATCAGCCTGTGATTTCAATCTTTTACTTTGATTTTCGGTGTGATTGTGAATCCAGCCTTCAATGGGTTGATGATTTTGGTGATGATAAAAAGCGACATTATACTGTTCTCTTTGTAGATTGTAGAAATTCCTCTGCTTACAGCTTGTTCAGATCTGTCTCAGAGTGCAGGCTTGCATTGCTGATTGTTTCAATGGTTGATAAAGGGGTCTCACAAGGATTTTTTATGGTGGCCCCATAGAGCTCAACACACTAAGAAAACACTTGCAAATACACAAAATACAAACAAATTCAGAAAACATCTTCATTAATTTGATAACACATGAGCTGCAAATACTGACAACACAACGAAAGTGTTTCCAGGGGACACTAAAAAGTGATGAACCTGGACAGGACTTGTTGTTCAATGCCTAATTGTGACTTTTGAAGTTAAAAGCATTGAATAACAAGTGCATCCCAGTCAGGTTCATCACAGCATAAAATGATGTACATGTACACGATGACAGAAATATGTAAACACATTCTTACTATAAAACTCTGCAGTTCTTTTTTATAAATTTAAATCTTTGTGCAAGTAGGACACACATCTTTTCATGTCAGTACATGCCTGTTCCACCAGTGATCAGGTCTGACAATTAAAAGATCTTCAAAGAAGTGAAATTCTACCAGTTGGCCCAGTAAGGTTGTGGTCTGGTGGTATTAATAGCACCCGTTCCATATCATAACATGTCAATAAACCATCAGCAGTGACATCTCATCCTTATTATCAGAAAGAAGACTCAAGGTGCACACATTGTTTCTATTTTTATAAACTGCAGTTGAAATTCTGGTTTCTTGTGAGTATTAACTGGCCCCATCTCTGAACTGGGAAAGACCAGTTACCAGTGCAAAGCATCTTACTGCTTAGTAAGCTACATTATAAAATGATATTAACATATTTAGTTGCATTTAATTCCAGATATGAGGCTTACGTGTATGTAATACATAATGTAGTGATATCTTTCTAATACTTACTTCTGTCTTCCTCTGTTGTTCAGTCATCCAGTTTGGTTTTGTGACATTGTTCGTGGCGTCCTTCCCCCTGGCTCCACTCTTTGCTCTGCTCAACAATATTATTGAAATACGACTTGATGCCAAGAAATTTGTGACTGAATTGCGAAGACCAGTGGCAGCAAGAGCCAAAGACATTGGTGGGTTACATTCAACATACTACGATTCTTATAAAAAGTATAGGTATAAAATATATGAATGTGATCTTGTCCTGTAAACATGTTCTTTACAACCAACAACCTGCAGTGAAAGATTTAGTTTAACTGTAGGAAAAAGACAGAAAAAGAAGTCTTATTTTGAAATCCAGTAGTTGATACGTATTGTTATGTCTACAGGTATATGGTACAACATACTCAGAGGGGTAGCAAAAGTGGCTGTCATCATTAATGTAAGTAACATATGAAAGTATCGATTTATGCTAATACATGTATGTCAGTATTCCTTCACAGAAAAACCACATGAATGTGTGAAATCACATGTTGGCACATGTGAAATTTAACATGTGAAAACATGTTAAAATTAAAATGTATGGAACACATGTGTAAAGCCCTTGTAAATTCCCATGCCATGTGAAACTTTAGGGATTACCATGTGAGACCCATGTACATAGTTTGTTGGTTGTTTGCATGTTGTCAGTACTCACATTACTGCACTTGTTGAAAATGTTATAGTGAAATTTAGAAAATCTGCAGTATATGTGACATGTTACAACATGTGGTAACATTTTCCTCATGTGCTATATATTTCATCAAATGTAGAAATCACGTGTCCACACGTGGTAAACATGGATAATTCCTGTGTTTTTTTACTGTGAGGGTTCTGACCATGTTTTGGACCTGTACTCCATGATACTGGGTTCAGGCAGACACAGAAGACCGTGATTTACCCTCAGAACCACAGTGAAATGTTTCATTGAAACTGTGTCATATGTCTACACAGTGGTTTTCTACACAAGGAGAGGGAATACATTTTATCAATTTCTGTTGTGATGTAGCTTAAAGACATTGGAGAGATTAGATATTTGAGGACAAACGAGTGCCCTGCCGCAGTGGTTCATGTACTTGAAATGCCAGAAGCTTAGATCACAGCTATAGCATATTTGCCTCATGAATGCATTAATATCTGGTTGAATATATTATCTCTTTCCCAGTGCAGTGTTCTGGGCATTTTTATATAATAGGCTAATGCTAGATCAGCATGTCACATGTAATGCATGGCTTGCAGCTGTAAAGGGAATAAACTGAAAAGAATTTTTAAAACAATAGCAACATTATTCATAATGAAATGTACTGATACCGAAAATACAATATTTGTGCCTTGAGAACTGCAGTACAGAATACAGTGCTCATGGATACAAGCCCTTGGGACAGTCTGTCTGCTCAGTGTGTCCCTATGCCACATGCATTTAGCTCATGCTACATGCTTTGACATGCCAAAGCAGCACCCTTCAGAGTTCCACAACAATTATCTGAACAGGTTTTTACTACTACTACAGCATTTCCCTGTGTACAACACTAGACACTAGAAGAGCCCCCCACCATACTGTTCCTGCGTTTAAGTTTAAGACTTTCATGTGCTTCATCTAGCAGCAGTGGATTTATAACACAGATTTCTGCCCTAAAGCAGCACTGCCCTGCACACACAGGCTGTTAGGGTAACAACTACACACTGCACTGAGGGCAGTACATTAGACTAACATGAAATGCCTATTGTGCACTATGCCTGCCTCAGGAGCAGCATGTATGTAGAATAAGAGCATAATTATGTGTAATAGGGTCTAACTCAAAGACAGTGTAGTGCTCATACATACACTAAAATATTGGTCTAATATTTTAGATAACAATGTCAAGAGAGGAGGACAGACAAGCCCAGTACATTCTTGGACGGGTGGCACAGGAGAAGGAGCAGAGAGAGGACTGCAAGCTTTCTAGCAAATCCCTTTGGATTCCCAGAAAAGCTGCTTGGGTAGTGGAGCAGAGCGATTTTATTGAGCACCAAAACCAGAAATTACAAGTTCTCAGAAAAGAATACACAGGGGAAAAAAAAAAGGTACAATGCTCACGCCCCCCTGGCCCCAGAATACTAAAGGCCATGACGTGGCGAGACACAACCGAAAGTTCCTTATTGGGTGGGATACCAAAAGGCAGAGAGGGGATTGGAACATTATAAGATTTCTGTAATGTGTGAAAAATTCTTGACCAATAGTTTATCAATTTCGGGCACAACCAAAACATATGTACAGGTTCGCAGGGGATTTGCCACATCTGTTGCAGACATCTTGAACATCAGGGTATATTTTAGACAATCTGTGGTTAGTGTGAATTCTTTCTATAATTTTACATCGAATTAGCCCATGTTGGGCACAAACAGAAGAATTATGAACTAGTTCAAGGATGTTGCTTCACTGTTCCTCATCAATGCTAAACCCCAAATCCTGCTCCCATGTTTCTCTAGTCTGATGGAGGAAAACTGAGCTGACTGAATCCACGAAGCTGTAGATGTATGTAATATTCCTTTTCTGGTCAGAGTCTATAGTGAGAGGTGTACCAATTAATGTTTTTGGAGGGCGATTTGGAAAACTGGGATAACGTTTCTGAATAAAATGTCTAATTAGAAAAATCACACGCTGACCCCCACTGGCTGGCCAGTAAGGTCTGTGGGGGGAAGGGTCGTCCCCGGGTGTAGTGTTGTTTTTGGCGGCCTGTTTTAATTTTAGTTTTAGTCTAGTCTTTGTGTCAAGCTGTCATTTTAGTTTTTATTAGTTTTAGTCACGTTCATACTCTTTTTAGTCTAGTCAAGTTTTAGTCGACTAAAAGTCTGAGCATTTTAGTCTTATTTTAGTCAGAATCATCCATGACTATTGTAGTCTAGTTTTAGTCGATGAAAATTTTATTTTAGTCTCTTTCTAGTAATGCAATTCTATTTAACCCAGTATAGTATTAAGTACCTAGTAGTATAGACAAAACCAAAATTTTCTTTTAGCCAAACCCATTTCACAGTTCAAACAAGGTTATCTTATTATTATATTATTTTTACCTTATAGACTCAAGAATACATCCATTCCAGACACACAAGACGCTCTGATTTGAATTTACAACATATTTATTTTACCAACCAAACATGTTAGTACACACACATAAATTTAAATAAATAAATAAAATAGCATCACATGACAATGCAAAAAAAAATTGAATACATTCAAGTTTAACAAAGAGAAACAAGGTGCTTCAATGCTCGAGCTACAATAATATAATAAAAAGTGCAAATAACGTGTGTGTCCGTCTTGTATTGCTTGTAAACTGAAGACAGATTTTGCATCATAAAAACTATTAAAAGATATTACACTACAAATGGTTTGGACCTTAGAGAGATATAATGGGATGGGAAGCACTGACTGAACACAGTGGAATTCATTGACAGAAAACAGACAGTACTGAATTATGCCAACTACTGAACCAAATCTCAACAGCAACTATATAAACTGTAACCTCCTGGATGTGTTATTTTAAAACTGGTTGTTACACACACGCCCGCGAGTGGGGATTGAGGAAGTGACGTTGCATGCGTCGGCACAGTGCGACCTGATGAAGTGAGACACAGGAAACAGAAATACTGCAAAATAATAATAACTCGACTAAACGAGTCGAAATGACGTTATAACATTTCGTCTCGTCTCGTTTTAGTCAACGAAAATGAAGTGACATTTTAGCAGAGTTTTTATTTCGTAAACCACATTTAGTCTCGTTTTTATTCGTCAACAATATTGCATTATATATTTAATTATAGTTACCGTCACATGACCAGCATTTACGTTGCGTCTCGTCTCGTTTTCGTCACGTGATAAAGGTTCGTTGACGAAGATATTTAGTCATAATTTTCGTTGACGAAAGCAACACTACCCGGGTGTGAACAGTGAGGAACTGTGGAGTGTGAGTTCCTTTGTCCAGTGGAGCAAAGAAACATCTGGTCTTTTGAATGATGACTCCCAACAATATATATATACAGTACAACAAGACAAGAGTGTTGGATGGAGACAAGACTGTTGGATGGGTCAGAAAGTGCAAAGCAACGATGAAAGTAGTGCAAAAAACAAGATAATAAATAAGAAATACTAGATAAATATGCGGGCAGGGGATGAGTGTATATATACAATCTGTGCTATATTACAGTGTGCAATGTTGATGTCAGTGGTTATTGTTCCTGTGTGATTGTTTTTTAAGTGATGGCTTATGGAAAGAAACTGTTCTTGTGTCTGGTTGTGTGGGCGTCCAGTGTTCTGTAGTGCCGTCTGAAGTTGGAGCAGGTTGTGCCCAGGGTGAGATGGATCAGTGTGATGTTTCCTGTCTGTTTCCTCACTCTGGAGGTGTATAAGTCCAAGATGGAGTGCAGTTTAGCACCAATGATCCTCTCTGCAGTCTTGAGTGTCTTTTGTAGTCTGTTCTTGTCCTGTTTGGTTGCTGAACCAAACCAGACGGTGATAGAAGTGCAGAGAACAGACTGGATTATTGCAGTGTAGAAGTGGATCAGCACCTCCTGAGGCAGGTTGAACTTCCTAAATGTTTCCACAGCAGTGTTGTTGTGTATGGTGATGGGGGGTAGTGATGGGGGGCTCCTCCTGAAGTCCACTGTCATCTCCACAATCTTAAGCGTGTTTAGCTCCAGGTTGTTCTTGCCATGGTGCCGCATGAGTGGCAGCATGCCACAGCAGCTCTGTACTCTTTTTTACTCTTTTTTTACTCTTTAGTGTGATTCTTCTTGTACTACACCGACACTTTAAGCAAGTGCAGCTATGGGTGTTTTTACTTTTACAGTCGTGTTTTGCCTCTTGCTGTTTTCTGAACTTTTTGATGCAATGTTGGGAGACTCACTCTACCACGGACCCATTGTTTACACTCGGGACCAGCTGTTAGCTATATGCCACACACCCCTTCACCATGCTGGGCGGCTGGAGATCCCAGCGGAGATCCGGAGAAGGAGGAGAGGCTGTAGAGCTGGAGTGAAGCGCAGACAGCGGAAAAAACGGTATAAACCATGTTTACCGTCTGTCATCATGGGGAACGTAAGATCACTCCCAAATAAGATGGAAGAGCTTACTGCGCTAACCCGGCTTCAGAGAGAGTTTCGCGAGTGTAGCATCATGTGCTTCACGGAGACGTGGCTGGGTGAACTTTCTCCTGACTCACATGTCACACTGGACGGATTTCAACTGGTACGGGCGGACAGGAAAACCATGGAATGTGGTAAGAAGAAGGGAGGGGTTGTTGTGTTCGTTAATGAGAGATGGTGCCACCCTGGACACATCAGTGTCAAGGAACAACTCTGCACTAGAGACTTGGAGCTGCTAGTGGTTAGCATTCGGCCGTACTATCTCCTGAGAGAGTTTTCACA